AGAACAGGGAATCCAGAGATTGACCCAAGACATTATGCTCAATTAATATTTGACAAAGGTGGCAAGAGCATACAGTGGAGTAAAGACAGCCTCTTTAATAAATGGTGTTGAGAAAATTGAACGGCTACATAAAAAAAATGACCACCAACTTACACCATACAGAAGAATAAACTGAAAATGAATAAAAGACTTAAATGTGACTGGTGAATCCATAAAAATCCTAGAAGAAAATGTAGGCAACAAAATTTCAGACATCACATGCACAGAATTTTCAGTGACACAACACCTAAGGCAAGAAAAACAAAACAAAACAAAACAAAAGAACACATAGGAGTACATCAAACTAAAAAGCTTCTGCACAGCAAAAGAAACAAGCATCAAAATGGAAAAAGAACCCACTATATGGGAGAGCATAACTGACAATGATACATCAGATAAGGGGTTAATTTCCAAAATATATAAAGTACTCATACAACTCAACAAAAGGAAGACAAAGAATTCAATTAATAAATGGGCAGAGGACTTAAATATGCACCTCTCCAAATGGAACATACAAATAGCCAAGAGGCATATAAAAAAATGCTCAACATCATTAATCATCAGAGAGATGCAAATTAAAACAATTATGAGGTATCACTTCACACCTGCTAGAATGGCTGCCATCAACAAATCATCAAACAAGAAGTGCTGGCGAGGATGTGAAGAAAAGGGAACTCTAGTACACTGCTGGTGGGAATGCAGACTGATGCAGCCACTACAGAAAACAATATGGTGTTACCTCAAAAAATTAAAAATTGAACTATCATTTGACCCAGTGATTCCACTTCTAGGAATATTGTAAGAAGCCTGAAACACCAATCAGAATGAATATATGCACCCCGATGTTCATAGCAGCACTATTTAAAATTGCTAAGATCGCCCTGGCCAGTTTGGCTCAGCGGTTAGAGCGTCGGCTTGCGGTCCGGAGAGACCCGGGTTCGGTTCCCGCTAAGGGCACGTACTTCGGTTGCAGTCTGTCCCCGGCCCTGGTTGGTCGTGCGGGTGGCAGCCACTCGATGTGTCCATTCACGTCGATGTTTCTCTCTCTCTCTCCCTTCCTCTCTCTCCCTCCCACTCTATCTGTACAAAAAAATGGAAAAATATCCTCGGGTGAGGATAAAAAAAACAAACAAAAAATAAATAAATAAAATAAAATAAAATAAAATTGCTAAGATCTGCTTATCCTTTGAAATGACATGGAGGGACCCGGAATGTATTATCTTAAGCGAAACAAGCCAGAGAAAGACAAGTATCATATGATCTCACTTATTTGTGGAATATAATGAAAATAACAGTCTGAGGAATGGGGTAGTCCCAGAGACGTGGAAGTGGGGTACAGACTGACAATCCCCAGAAGAGGCGGTGGTGGGGGAGAGATAAACCACAGAACTTATATGCATGTATGCATGAACAATGGACATGGACAACAAAGTTGGGGACAGGGCGGGGAGGAAGGGGGAGGGAGGAATCAGTTGGGGAAAAGGGAGAAACATCTGTAACAAAAATAAATTAATTAATTAAATAAAAAATAAAAAACTTTGATATATTTACACAATTAAATACTACTCAGCCACATAAAGGAAGGAAGTCATACCTTTTGCCACAGCATGGATGGACCTGGAGAGAATTATGCTTAATGAAATAAACCCAGTCAGAGAAAGACAAATGCCATATAATTTCGCTTATATGTGGAGTCTAATTAACAAAATAAACTAACACACAAAATAGAAACAAATTCATAGATACTAAGAACAGACTGACAACTGTCAGAAGGGAACAGTTTTGGAGGGCTGAATGAAAAAGATAAAGCAATTAAGCAAAAAACAAAAAAGAAACAACACTCACAGTCATAGACACAGACAATAGTATGGTGATTACTAGAGAGAGGAAAAGAGGTTGGGGAGAGGTAGGAGGGTAAAGGGGATAAATGGTGATTGAAGGAGACTTAACATGGGGTGGTGAATACACAATACAACATAATACTGATGTAATTTAAAACTGTACACCTGAAACCTATATAATTTTGTTAACCTATGTCACCCCAATAAATTTAATTAAAAACAACAACAACAAAAAAGCCAACATATACTACCATTTCTTGCAGCACTCTGTGACAGATACCAGTCCCTCAACCATCAGCCTGAAAATCCAGAACATTATACACATGTTCTACTCTCCTCTTTCCCCTCAGAGGAGAGTAAAATGTGGGATTTTCTACTGCTCAAATTGTTGTGCCTAGGATGGGAAGGGCTATAACAACCAAATGCAATGAACTTTCTTACCTGCTTCAATGCAGTTCTTTGCTTTGTGCTTGCCTGGGGTAATTTACCACTTAACTGATTTCTACAGCTTTTACTAAAGCATTTTGGTCTACATATTGTTACATCAATTTCTCCATGCATGAATGAGGTCCTGGGGCTTCTTATTCCACCACTTTGCTGATATTACTCCCAAATTATCTATAACCTTTGCCATCCAAAATGATATAACATTTAGGTATGCCCATTTAATTGGATTATTAGTTCCTAGCTACAATGTAAGTGCTATAGTTACTTTTACATTTTACTTTCAGAAGGTAAATTAATACTGCTAGTTGTCCTCAAGGACAAGGGTCATCTTACTATTATCCCTCTCATCATGCACAATAGCTCACACATAAAGTTTGCCATCATGTAAAACCTGCTTAATAAATGGTCTAGTAGGAGTTGTGAATACTTGCCTATGGATTAAAGATTATTTTCATTTTAAAGAACTTCTGTTTTCTATTTTAAAGTCATTTGTGTTCTGTATATTTTATCCAGATTCTGTTTGCTTAAGGAGCTAATATCCAGGTTCCAATAAAATATCAATCCTTAATATTTTGTTTCTTTTTTCCTCATTAAAAAAATTAACTAGAGTCTATATTTTATTAAAATTCTCTTAGCTTTTACCAAATGTGCTTTTTCTTTTCCAGGATACTACACTACATTTACGCATCATGTCTCCTTACTTAGTTGCCTCTTGAGTTACAATGTTTATCTAGCTTTCCTTTTTTTAATGACCTTGACATTTCTGAAGAGTACTAGTCAGGTCTTTTCTAGAATGATCCTCATATTTATTTTTTTCATAATTAAACTGGGGTTATGTGATCACCTATATCATGATCACCTATCTGTTTTCTCCAGTGTAAAGTTACTCTTTTTCCCTCCTTTCCATCTCATACTCTTTGGAAGAAACTCACTACATGCAAGATATTATCTTCCTGAAAAAAATTTACCCTGTTATCTTGTAAAGTACTCCACATTCTACTTTGTTTATTATTTGGTGTCACCTTTATGTCTATATTTTCTGTGAACTGAAAGTTTAATTTATATTTTAAGTATATGGTTGGTGCTATATACATTACACCAGATGACTTGCAAAGTCAGAATGATCCATATTAGCAATCATTTGGTTAGGATGGTGACAGCAGAGCTCCTCTTCATTGTAAAGGGACAATTTTTTTTTTTTTTTTTCATTTCATTTCATTTTATTGCAATGAGCAAGAAATCTGTGGGACATATTTTAGAATCTTGTACTTCATCCATGGATATCTGTGCCATAAGAAATATTATACAAAAGTGATGACCTCAAAACTCCCCAATTACTTCAGTAGTCATTCATCCATTTATTCAACAAACATATACTGAATGCCTAGTAAGTTCTAGGCAGTGTTTACGTTCACCTGCTGGGACTACAGAGGGGAAAGATGGGCTCTGTCCTCCAGGAGCACAGCCCAGTGCTAGAGAAAGACATCAAGAGTTTCAATAGCTCTTGGTATGGCTTAGTTGGTTGAGCATTGTCCCACCGAGAAGTCACAGGTTTGATTCCTGGTCAGGGCACATGCACAGGTTGTGGGCTTGAGCCTCGAGGTGGGGGGCAGGTGCATGCAGGAGGCAGATGATCAATGTTTCTCTCTCACTGATATTTCTCTCTCTCTCTCTCTCTCTCTCTCTCTCTCTCTCTCTCTCTCCACTCTCCCTCTCCCTTACTTTCTCTCTAAAAATCAATAAAAAGCACATTTTAATAAAAAAGAGTTTCAATAAAGTTTGATCAGTCTATAATAGTGATAAAGAAGGTACTTTCTTTGGTTATTTTCATTATAACTGTTCACCATACTTTTTTCACATACTAAATATTTTCAATAACAAATGTTAAAAGAGAGAGTCTATGATTTAAACTTAATTTAACTAGCTCCTTTCATCCTTAAACATTCTAGTTAATTCCAGTTGACTCCATAAAGGGACTTGTCCAGTTACTACTATAAAAACATAAAAATCTCTGGAGAGCAAGATGATTCAGAAGAACAAATGTAAACTTCAGAGCCCATAAGAACTGAATTCAAATCTCCATCTCCCATTTAGCTCTGTGTCCTGGCACAAATTATTTAACATCTCTGAGCCATGGGTTTCTATACATAAGCCAGAGAAAATGCTTATTTCTAAGGATTCCTAGGAGAATTAGGCAAAATAACATATGAAGTGCTTATCAGAGTTCTGAAGTATCTGGCATATAATAAATGTTATAAATGGTGTTCCTCTTAAGAAACAATAAAAACTACAAACTGTGAATATAAAACAATTGCTTACTACGATCTGGGTATTTTTCCATTGGCAATATAAATATCACATGAATAAAACTAAAATAATATTATGATATTATAAGTAGAAACAAATTCATATTTTAATTAAAGTAAAGAAGCTGACAAGTCTCAAAAAAAAGTTTGCAATTTCCCACCCATACCTCTGCCCTGTTGACCCTCCACATATCCCCTTAAATGTGCCTACAGTACTGAAGGAGGGAAAGTGTTGGGAGCCTTTTGTACCAGTAATATATCTGATGATAGGGTTAAGTTTTGAAGAAATAAAGATACCACAGAATTCTTAGTGACAGTAACTCTTAGTAAGAGGGACTGTGCTCTGGACAGACAAAATATACATCACCTTTCTGCTCAGCCAGCTCCCACAGGTCCTGAGCTGCTGCCCAAGACAGTGTCATAGGGTATTCCACAAGGACATGCTTGCCAGCATTAAGGAACTGCCTTTGGAAACAAGAGATAAATAGAGAAAATACATTCAAATAAGCTGCATTAAAATGCCTTACCCAACAGAGTACAAAATGTTATAAATGCACAAAAGTCTACATGTATAAATGTGTATAAATGTGCCATGTGAGTGCGAGTCAAAACCAGAGGATCAAGATGATGAACTGTACCTCACGTTGTTTTCTACTACACTGTACAAGAATGACTTTCTGGTTATGTGTTCATTTAAACATTCATTTATTCATCCATTTACATATTCAATTAGGTACTACTTACCAGTTACTTTGGAGAAGAAATAAAGACAGTAACAGCTAAACTGTCTGTTACCATATGATAGCTATAAATGAAAACTACAAAACTCATGGCAGCTAGCTCCATCTGAGGCAGTCTAAACAGATTTCACTAACAACTGAACTGACTCTTGAATTATTAGTAAAAATTTTTCCTGGTGCAATGGAATGAGCATATTTCATTTTAAGCAGAATATGCAGGGGTTTGGGCATTTTGTGGGACTTTGTTCTTTTGAATAATGATAAAAATTTCAGAATGGCAGGGAATGAGCTATAGGGAGCAAATGAAAATAAGATATCATTAGTAGTTAGGAGCCTGCCTGACTGTGAAGGATTTAGAATGTGGTGCTTCGAACTTTGGACATTATTCTCTAGATATTCCAAGGTATAAATGATTACCGTTTACCCTTGAACAATGTACCAATCTCCCAAAGAGTTGAAAATCTGCATATAACTTTTGACTCCCCAAAAACTTAACTATTAATAGCCAACACTTGACTGGAAGCTATATCAACAATATAAACAGCTGATTACCATACATTTTGTATGCTATATGTATTATATACAGTATCCTTACAATAAAATAGCTAAAGAAAAGAAAACGTTGAGTGATGTCCGAAGAATGGTAACCTTGGTCTTTCCCCTTGAAGTTTAAATAATTTGAACAGCTATAATTTAATAAAGGATGCCCTGTTCAATACACAAACAACACCTGAGAGATCATGCATTGTAACATCTAAAGGTGGACAAGTGGGAGCAAAATATGGTGAGTTGAGTTACAGATGCAGCCTTACAGCTGGGAGCTTATGGCAGGGCTCAGCCTGGAAAGGGGAGAAATCAGGTTGTGGCAGACACTCCCTTCAGCCAAGAGGAGCGAAGAAATTCGGTGGGCATTCCTGGAGAAGTAGGTAGTATAAGCTGTAGCTGAGTCCAGAGACCTGGGCAGGGACACAGCAGAGAGGTGTAGCCATGTTTGTCTGGCTGTCAGCATTTCAGCCAGAGAAATAAAACCACAGAGCATGACCACTCTGCAACCTCCCAGAGCTTGCCTCCCTTTGGCCTTGGGGTGGGGTTGTAGAGCACATTATCTACAAACCTGAGAACTGGTACTACAGAATCACTTTTTTCATGAGCAAAGGATGGACTCTGTGACTTGTCTAGGAATCAGGAATGCAAGGGAGACTCCATAAAGGTCCAAAGCTGCCATTACCAGGAAGGCAAAGCAACTTAAAAAGTGGACGAGTTACCTAAGAACAATATACCCCACACATTGCAGTTACTCTGACTGCAGTTTTCAGCTGTGAAAAACAGCACAGGAATTTCATTAATTTGAAGCCCCATTGCCCACTGCAATCCCCTGCAGGGTTGGTCCCCTGAGACTGGGACGTCTGGATCACAGGAAAGGCATCCATCTCCCATTCTCCATCACCCCATGGAGATCTGAAAAGCCAGAGAAGTGCAAGAGACCTAAAAAACTTGTGAATCAGTTCCACCTACTGGAAAATAAAATAAAGATCTCTTCTTATCAATCTCCTAGAGAAGTGCTACTCATACATAGATGCCTAGACAGAGAAGAAATCCATCAAATACCATGAATAACCAAAATAGTGAGACATCTCGAGAAAAACTGAACAATTTCCAGAAAACATACTGAAAGACATGGAAATATGTGATTTAAAGGACAGAGCACTCGCCCTGGCCAATTTGGCTCAGCAGTTAGAGCCTAGGCCGTGGACCAATGAGTCATGGGTTCAATTCCGGTCAAAGGCATGTACCTTGTTGCAATTCATACCCGGCCCTTGGTTGGGGTCCTGTGGGAGGCAGCCACTAGATGTGTCCCTTTCACGTAGATTTTTTTTTCTTTCTTTCTCTCTTTTTCTCTCTCTCCCTCCCACTCTATCTAAAACAAAACAAAAAAAAGGAAAAAATGTCCTTGGGTGAGGATAAAAATAAAGGATAGAGAACTCAAGACTGCATTTCAAAAAAAAAATTCAATGAGGTACAAGAAAATACAGATAAGCAGTTTAATGAGCTCAGAAAACAAATCGATGAACAAAATGAGTACCTTACCAAAGAAAATGAAACTTTAAAACAAAACAAAAAAAACAAATTCTGGAGATGAAGAACTCAATAAAAAGATGAACTAGCAAGCATAGGATATAGAATGGACCAAATGGAGGAAAAGATTAGTGATATCAAAGATAGAAATCTAGAAATGATGCAGAGAGAAGAGAGAGACCTGAGCACAAAATAATGTGAAAGAACTCTACTAGAACTAACTTCATCAGAAAGAGCAATATAATAATAATAACCATACCAGAAGAAAGGGAGAAAAGAATGGCAAGCCAATTCAAACAGAGAGTTGATAAGAAATTCCCAAACCTATGGAAAGAGCTAGATCCTCAAATCCAAGAAGCAAACAGAACACCTAATTACCTCAATACAAAAAGGCCTTCACCAATGCATATTGTATAAAAACTGTCAAAAGTTAATGACAAAGAAAAAATTGTCTGGGAAACCAGGGAAAAGAAGAAATTAATCTAAACAACAATGAGGTATCACCTCACACCTGTCAGAATGGCCGCCATCAACAAAACATCAAACAACAAGTGTTGGCGAGGGTGTGGAGAAAAGGGGACTCTAATACACTGCTGGTGGGAATGTAGACTGGTGCAGCCGCTATTGAAAACAATATGGTGCTACCTCAAAAAATTAAAAATTGAACTTCCATTTGACCCAGTGATCCCACTGCTGGGAATATACCCTAAGAAGCCTGAAACACCAATCAGGAAGAATATATGTACCCCCATGTTCATAGCAGCACTATTTACAATAGCTAAGATCTGGAAACAGCCCAAGTGTCCACCAGTAGACGAATGGATCAAAAAGCTGTGGTACATATACACAATGGAGTACTATGCAGCGGTAAGAAAGAAAGATCTCTTATCCTTTGAGACGACATGGAGGGACCTGGAAAGTATTATCCTAAGTGAAAGAAGCCAAGCAGAAAAAGACAAATACCACATGATCTCACTTATATACGGAATATAATGAACATAACAGTCTGAGGAATACAGTAGACCCAGACACATGGAAGTAGGGCACAGACTGACATCCCTCAGAAGAGGGAATGGGGGGTGGGGGGGAGGGAAGAGATAAACCACAGAACTTATATGCATGTATGCATGACCAATGGACATGGACAACTAAGCCGGGGACAGGGTGGAGGGGGGGTAGGGTGGGGGGTGCCAATGGGGTAAAAAGGTAAAATATCTGTAACCAAAAAATAAATAAAAATTCATAAAAAAAAAAAAGAAGAAGAAATTAATCTATAAAGACAAGCCAATTAAGTTATAATCAGACTTCTCAAGACAGTGGAAACAAATATGTAAAATGCAGAAAAGAGCTCTAGCTGGTTTGGCTCAGCAGTTACAGCATAGGTCCATGGACTAAAGGGTCATGGGTTCTGTTCCCAGTCAAGAGCACACACCTGCATTGTAGGTTCAATCTCCAGTCCCAGTAAGGGTCATGCGGGAGGCAACCAATCGATGTGTCTCTCTCACATTGATATCTCTCTCTCTCTCCCTCCCCTCCACTCCATCTAAAAATTAATGAAAAAATATCCTTGGGTGAGGATTAACAACAACAAAATGCTGAAAAGAGAAATTACCAGCCAAGAATAATATCCTTTAAATATTAAGGAAATAATAAGGACATTTCCAGGAATACAGAAGCTGAGGGAATTTATCACCAGAAGATCTCCATTGCAAAAAAAAAAAAAACTCAAGGGGGTAATTCTACCTGAAACAAAGAACAAAAGGTCACAACACTACAAGTAAGATGACCAGAAAACTTACAGCATAAAGAGGGATAAGTTGTGGAAACAAAAACATAAAAGGGGAGTATTAAAAATCTGAATTTGTAAAAGAAAATGGAGATAAGATACATTCAAAAGAAAAAAAACTACTGCATATATAAAACTTTGTTTTCATAAATCTAATGGTAATCACACAATAAAAACCCAAACTGAGACACATAGCTTAAAAAAAGAGAAAACAGAGGAAAGAAGTATGAATGCCAACAAACAAAGGCAACGTATAGAACCACACACACACGCACACATACACACACAAAATGGAGGCAAAGAACTACTAAAAAAACATAAGATAAAATCCCTTTAGGAAGTCCTAATACATCAATAATTACACTAAAGGTAAATACTAGCATATCTAATAAACAATAAATCCAATCATAAGCAGAAGCCCTGACAGGTGTGGCTCAGTTGTTTGGAGAACTGTCCCATGCACCAGAAGGTCACAGGTTCAATTCAATATACCTGGGTTGTGGGTTCAATCCCCATATGGGAGTCAACTGACAGATGTACCTCTCTCACATCGATGTTTCTCTTTCTCTTTCTCTACCTCCCCTTCTCTCTCTCTCTCCCTTTCTCCTTCTGTAAAATCAATAAAAATAAATAAACAAACAAACAAAAAATATGTTAAAAAAAAAAAAATGGACAGAGAGCCCCAAAAGACACTTCTCCCAAGAAGACATATGGCCAACAGATATATGAAAAGAGGCTCAACTTTACCAGCTATTAGGGAAATGGAAATTAAAACTACAATGAGATACCACCTCACACTTGTTAAAATGGCTATTATCAACAAGACAGGTAATAACATATGTTGGAGAGGTTGTGGAGCAAAA